GTTCGAAAGCCCGCTGGGTTGGCTCTGTGTTGACCAGCCAGAGCCTGGAGCCTGTTTCAGATTCTGTGTCTCCCTTTCGCTGACCCTCCCCCGTTCATGCTCTGTCTCTCTCTGTCTCAAAAATAAAATAAACGTTAAAAAAAAAATTTAAAAAAAATAGATTTAAAAAAACAAAGTAGCAAGAATATCAAAGTCATTGACCTTCAGTCATATGCTTCATCTTAAAATGTTTAATGCAAGCTGATTACCACCTCATTGACCACATGACCCTAAGAACTTCCAGTGGTTACATTTAGAATACAGGTGTTTATTTCACAAACTACATCCAAGATAATACCATCCTCAGAGCATTCAAAATTAAATATTTTTGTTTTCTAAAACAAGAAGTAAGTTTCCATTCACTAACTTTTTAGACCTTCTTATCTGTTTATGTATAAGCATGAATTCCCATGCATATATACTTATATGATGTCTCTTATGCGCAATTATTATGACTAAAAGCAATAGTCTCTGTAAGAACTGGGAGTAAATAATAAAAGCAGTTAAAATTAATCTTAAATTAAAATTTAAAAAATTATATTTAAAGCATTGTGCAATGTTTCACTCAAAAATTAAGGGACATTTTAAATTGTTTTGAAAAATATATTGTCCTTAATAACAATTGGGGAGCTGGAGGGAGTATGGCAAGTTTCAAAAAAATAAAAGTCATATGAAAAATAAGGCATAAGTCAATACATTTGAGAACCAAATACATAATGGTCAAGATTAGAAGTATAAACTGCTTAAACTTCCTTTTTAAAAGAAAAAAAAAATCATTGATTGGTTTAAAGCACCAAGCTCATTATTAGTTTGCATAGGGGGAAAAGCCTAAAATCAAGTTATACTACATGTTTGGTACCAAAACAGTATTATAAGAAAAGATGGGCAAAGACGGAGCAAGAAAACACAATGGAGGAAAGTATTTAGAGGTGGCAATATTAATACGAATGAGATATTAATAATGATTAATATCAATATTGATCTCCATGAGAATTGAATGAATTAAATTTGAGAAAGAAGATCACTATACCTAGGAAACAAATAGAATCTATAATTAAAAAGCTATGGAGCTAAAATTCAAATAATATAAAACATTAAGCAAAAGTTTTTAGCAGTATATACAAATGTGAACAGAAACATGATGGTCGCATTGAAATGTTAGCACGTTGTCTATAAAATAATGTAGAAAAATAATAAGGACAAGAAGATTTAAAAGTAAATTATTGGTTAAGACTCTCGAGCACTATAACTTCTTTCAAATACTTATAAATCATTCACAAAAATCATCATATATTAAACTACAAAGAAGGACACCTGGGTGGCTCAGACGGTTAAGCATACGCCTTTGGCTCAAGTCATGATCTCACAGTTTGTGAGTTCAAGCCCTGCATTGGGCTCTGTGCTGACAGCTCAGAGCCTGGATCTGCTTCACATTCTGTCTCCCACTCTCTCTGCCCCTCCCCTGCTCACGCTTTGTCTGTCTCTCTGTCTCAAAAAAAAAAAAAAAAAAAAAAAAAAAAAAATTACCCACTGAGGTCAACTCACAGCCTAAACAAACATATGAATTGAAAACAGACCCACCTCACATATTAAAGTCAAAAAAAAAAAAATTCTAAATAACATTAACACACTGTATAAAGAATACAAGCTAGGGGCACCTGGGTGGCGCAGTCGGTTGAGCGTCCGACTTCAGGCAGGTCACTATCTCGCGGTCCGTGAGTTCGAGCCCCGCGTCGGGCTCTGGGCTGATGGCTCAGAGCCTGGAGACTGTTTCCGATTCTGTGTCTCCCTCTCTCTCTGCCCCTCCCCCGTTCATGCTCTGTCTCTCTCTGTCCCAAAAATAAATAAACGTTGAAAAAAAAAATAAAAAAAAAAAAGAATACGAGCTAGCATTTATTGAATGTTCACTCTCTGCATCAGGGACAGAGCTAAACACATTACAGGAAGTATTTTTATCTTCTCAACAACGCTGTCAAGCTCTTAAACAATAAACAATACCTTATTCTCTACTGCATAACCTTAGATAATAATATTTATTGAGCACCTACTGCGTGCAAGAGCAGCAGATAATAGAAGCTATTAAGCAGCAGAACTATGATTCAGAGCCAACCAGTATTTTCCCAATTCTATATGCTGTCCAATGTGACATCACATTAATAATCTAATTCATCATGATTAAGAAGAATATCATGGAAATATAGAGACAATTTTATACTAGAAAATATATTTATATAATGTGTTATTTATCACACCAGAGCTTGTTAAGTGGTAGTTTCTTAAGGATTAGTTGCAATGTGGAGTCTAAAACTAAAACAATAAAGTTTAAAAAGCCTATTACAAAAAACCCATCAATCTGACTTGCTCTTTGAATAGATCTCTTTCACCCAGGCATAATTTTGTAATATATGCATCATTTTCATTTTCCAAATGAAAATATCTGTTCACTAAGATATTCTGACATTACAAATCTATATATATTTCAATTATTATAACCAAGTAATTTATTTGTTAATATCACCATTGTTGTCATCACAAAAGTCTTTTAAGTATTGAAAAGTTGTCAAGTTTGCAGTGATAGGTTTTCCAAAATTTTAATTTTCTTTTTTTTTTAAGTTTACTTATTTATTTTGAGAGAGAGAGAGAGAGAGAGAGAGAGAATCCCAAGTAGGCTGCACGTTGTCAGCACAGAGCCAGACATGGTGCTTGAAGTCACAAACCATGAGATCATGACCCAAGCCAAAATCCAGAGCCAGATGTTCATCCGACTGAGCCACCCAGCTGCCCCCCCAATTTTAATTTTCTATTGAAAGCTCAAATGTTATCATTGGAAACTAATGTTTTTCTTTAAGTAACAAATTCACTTTGTAAGTATCTTGAGAAAGTGTTTGTCAAATGCCTAAGTCTGAGTAACCATGCTTTGTCTGTCTGTCATTCTTTCAAGTGAAAACGGATTCTGCGAAGAGTGGCTAGTTTAGCTCACAACTCTAACAATCATATAAATGGTTTTCCTCAAAACGATCATCTTGCATGCAGCAGAAGTGCTTGTCACTCAGAATATTAAAAGACTATCACAGAGAATATTCAAAAGATGTGTACTCACAAGTCAAGATTTAATAATTATTATTAATTATTAATAAAATTAATAATCTTTTTATTTCATCAAGGACATTAAGTGAAACTGGCTTTATTTGTTGCTCCAAGTATATTACAGTGAAAAATATAATAATTACTGGTACATTTTGGTGACACTGCCTTGATTGACACTTGGGCATTAGCAGTTTTATTCACTGTTGGTGTTACACCATTAGTGCAAATTATTAATGCGGTAAACAAAGCAAATAATGTCTGGATGTTATTACCAAAGTATTTTTGATTTCCTGGATCCCCTTAAAGTATCTTGGGGACTTCTAGGGGCCCACAGGCCACACTTTAAAAAATTTTTTTTAATGTTTATTTCTTTTTGAGAGAGAGAGAGAGAGGCAGAGTGTGAGCTGGGGAGGGGTAGACAGAGAAGGAGACGCAGGATCTGAAGCAGGCTCCAGGATCTGAGCTGTCAGCACAGAGCCTGATGTGGGGCTCGAACTCACAAACCGTGAGATCACGACCTGAGCCAAAGTCGGACGCTTAACTGACTGAGCCACCCAGGTTTCCCAGGCCACAGACCACACTTTGAGAACTGCAAGTCTAATGAATTTCCTTGCACCTGCTCTGGTCAGGCTACTCTCTTGCTTTAAATCCTGAAGTCACTTTCCTTGGTTCCTAAGATAAAGTCTAACATCTTTAACATAGTCTATTGTTGGACTTCTTTTCATTTCTCCAGCGTCATGACAAGCGATACTTTCCATCTGTTGGTACAGTCCACCTACTCTGGTGTTTTGCGCTCTTTCTGAAGTACCAGCCCCTTTCCTGCTACAGGGCCACTCCCTCCCTATGCAGCTCCTTTAACTTCCCTGTGATATTTTGCCCTCCATGTGATACTTACCAAACACCTGCTCATCTTTCCAGCCTCATACTTCATATTACTTCCCTGAGGAAAACTGAAGGTAGTGTAAGTGAGCTACCCATGAAACTCACTGCCAGAACATCTTTTCTTTCTGTGTAGCCCAGATCCCAAATGTAAATACCTAATTACATTACAACTACTTCTTTACTCATTTTTAATTTTTTTTAACATTTATTTATTTTTGAGAGATGACAGAACATGAGCAGGGGAGGGGCAGAGAGAGAGGGAGACACAGAATCCGAAGCAGGCTCCAGGCTCCAAGCTATCAGCACAGAGCCTGATGTGGGGCTTGAACTCACAAACCATGAGATTATGACCTGAGCCGAAGTCGGGTGCTTAACCGACTGAGCCACCCAGGTGCCTCACAACTACTTCTTTAATGGCTATGTCCTTCGCTCTAATGTAAGTTCCAGAAGGATAGACACTACATACCCATAATCAAGACTCTATCCCCAAGGCCAATAAATGAATGAATGAAGTGCACCACATATTTTTATGTTTAGTGTGCAGAATTAGAACCTCAGAGAAATTAAAAAAAAGAGGAAAGAAATGTCTTAAATTTAAAAAGTAAAAAAACCTCACATTTTTATTAAAGATGAAAATGTAAAAGTACTTCTATATAAAAATAGAACATACGAGTGCAAATTCCATAAAAGTGAATAATAAATTAATATAAGTAAATATATACATAAACATTTTATAAAATGAGGTTCAGCCCCAGGGCACCAGTTACATTTTCTCCAATTCTGAAACTAGCTGGGCATAGACGTGCTTAACATTACTGATAAAAATACATCAACTATGATTCGAATTATTTTATAACTGAAGCAAAAAATAACAGTTTTGGAAATAAATGAACAATTAAAAGTCTGAGCTAGGACATTAGTCACTGAAAACTAGGTTCCTGTTAATTCCCGAGTCTTCTTACGAGCTTGTAAATGAAGAGAAAGCGACTCCTGATTTCCAGCCTGACAATTTCCCAGGCGCAGTCACTGTATCCCTCGTCCTCCAGGTAGACGCGGATGTCCTGGAAGTACCTCTTGATGGCCAGGACAGGGCCGCGCATCCCCGGGGCGCGCTCTCCCTCGCCCGTGGCCTGCAGCAAGCAGGCGTCCAGGGCTTCCAGCTGCCGGTGGAGGCCAGAGCGGAGTCCGTGCAGCGGCGCGGGGCTCCAGGCCGCCGAGGAGCGCTCCGTGTGCAACAGGTTGAAGGTCTGCTGGAGCAGCTCCCGCAGGACAGCGGCAGCCTGGGCCTTCCGGAACTCCCCGCCCTCCAGCTGCTCCCCGGGGGAATTTGAAGTCAGTCCTGTACTTCAGACGGGAAAGAGAGATCGTCACCACTTGGTTGAGAGCTGTGAAGCTCTCCTGCTTTCCCAAGTCAAAGCTCTGAGGCAGGTCACAGCTAATGGAGGTCAGAGGGTGGGACAAGATCAACACTAGTGCCATCAGTAAAGAAATTGAAAAAGCCATTGGTAAGTTTCAAGACGTCCTTCTGGTTGAGATGGGAGATGATGAGCTTTTGTCCAGCTTCTCTGAAAATCCTCCATCTATGTGTCTCTTAAATATTGAGCATAAGAGTTTTCATTTTCTAAATTTCCCACAGAATTTTGTTCTTCTCCATTTTGGGCTTTCCTTTCTTTTGAAGGGTCTGAAGTTGACATCAGTTTCAACTCTTTCTGTATTGTTACAATTGAAGAAAAACTTATTCACTAAAAAAGTAGAAGTTCTAAGTCAATGGAATGTTTATTATCGTAATAAAAACCAACTTTGAACTAATGATAGAGCTATCTGGATCTTTCTTCCTGATGTTAAGAACAACTTCTAAGGAAGCTTTACTAAGGCTTTCTTTTAAAATCTTCTTTCTCCCCTCTCCTCCAGATGGCCCTCTTAGAAGTATTGGTCAGGTGTGAAAGATAACCTGATTTGCATATGCATGGATGTCACCCTATTCTCTGCTGCAAAATACGTAGTTTGTCAAATTTGGTGTTATTTACTCTGCTTCACTGAGAAGACTACTGAGCATTTCTTCTGTGCCAATTATTACCGTAAGCTCAAGCTATACTAACATGATTAAACCTCCAGTCTTGCCCACAAGAGTAAAGAGTAACCATTGCTACCTTAGAGGTGTTCAAGTTGTTAGAAAGTGTGTTTGCTGCTTTGTGGCAGGCCTCTTTGTGTTAGCCCAGACCATTGTCTTAGCTCTGGAGGAGTCATGGTTAAACAGTCCTTGTTGTTCTTTGCTATTTTGGCATAATTATAAAATCGTTGCCTTTCATTTGTATTTGTCTTTTCTCTTTATGAAAGCTGTCCTAGTGCTTTTCTATTTCCACTCTGAGGTTTGTTGGGAAACAAGGAAGGGAAAATGTAAGAGAAAAGAAGAGATGACATTTCCTCTATGATTTTCAAAACATCAGAACTTCCCTCTCTCTCTTAACATTCCTAGAGAGTAAAAGGAAGCAGTCATAAAAACGTAATGCACAAAAGACAAATGGAAAGTAAATGCTGAAAATGAAAGGGAAAAAAAAGTGACATCTTCTCTGTCCAAATGACAAAATGTCACTAAACTTCTGCAAGGGATTAAGAGCTCTATAGAATGGCAGGTTTCAAACAAGTCTGTGTGAGATTGTTTCCCTGCAGAAAGGTCCTCAAGGAGGACAGCTGACTTTTTTTAAGGTGGGCGGTTACCTAAAGGGCTAGTTTTCGGCTTTGCTGAATCCGCAAATCTGTCTATCCCTCTATCTATCTATCTGTCTATCACCTATCTACTTTTTTCTCTATCGACAGAGGTGATCAGATTCCAAGGATTTAGTTGTACCAACTCACCCTCAAGAGACTGGGTTATAGATCAGACAGCCATTTTATTAATGTGTGAGAGGTCAGTTATTACCTGGAAGCTGATAGATGTTAGTGACTGGGACAGGGCACTCCCTGTCATGTGAACACCTGCTAGATGAACACAGAAGAGATGACATTAGAAATAAAAGTGTTTATTAGTGAGCTGAGAAGGAAGAGAAGCCGATCACTTCAGGGAAAACTTGCATCCAGTTCCCATAGTTGGATGGGTTAGTTTTCTCTGTTGTGAAAACGGCTGACGGCTGTTGAGTACTTATTTTGCCCAGGCATTGTTACAGGTACATGACATCATCCCACCTTCACAGCAACCCAGTGAAATCGATATGATTATTATTTCCATATGACAGAGGAGAAAAACAAGAAGCCCAAGGTCACACACACACAGGCTGGAGCTATGATAGGAATCCAGCAGTCTGGCCCCAGAGTCCACTCTCCTAGCCACTAGATGGGGCCTTCTCTGATCTTCTTCCTATCTTCCTATCTTAGATTAATACTTAGCAAGTTTTTTCTCTCCAGCTGCCATTCTTAGTCACCAAAAAGCACCATTCGCTTATTCCAGAGACACTGCAATACCCTTGAAGAGGATACAGCTTTCTTTTCACTTGCTAGATTCCAGTCTTGTCTTTCAAATGGTGTGTTTTGTTGATCTCTACTGGATCTTTGAAACTCCCTGCTCCCATCTGACGTATGTTCAGAAATCATCCAGATTAAAGAATCCATTTAAGTCCATCAACTGATGAATGGATAAAGAAATTGTGGTTTATATACACAATGGAGTACTACATGGCAATGAGAAAGAACAAAATATGGCCCTTTGTAGCAACGTGGATGGAACTGGAGAGTGTGATGCTAAGTGAAATAAGCCATACAGAGAAAGACAGATACCATATGGTTTCACTCTTATGTGGATCCTGAGAAACTTAACAGAAACCCATGGGGGAGGGGAAGGAAAAAAAAAAAAAAAAGAGGTTAGAGTGGGAGAGAGCCAAAGCATAAGAGACTCCTAAAAACTGAGAACAAACTGAGGGTTGATGAGGGGTGGGAGGGAGGGGAGGGTGGGTGATGGGTATTGAGGAGGGCACCTTTTGGGATGAGCACTGGGTGTTGTATGGAAACCAATTTGACAATAAATTTCATATATTGAAAAAAATAATAATACAATAAAATAAAAAGGTAAAAAAAAAGAATCCATTTAAGATGCATCTCACTTGAGTTGGTCTTAAACTCACGGGAGATTTTGTTTAGAAAACAATATTGCAGAATAAAAGTTATTCTTACTATCTCTGTTTTCGGAAGACTGTTGTTTTCTGACACAGCCCACAAATTTAAGGCCTACTCGTATTTGGAACATGTAGTCCTTTTTGTATTTGTTATGGGACAGAAAACTCTCTGTGTGCCTCCTCTGTGACACTCAAGATACACATTACTGCCCTCAGGGAGGTTATAGTCTATCAGGGCAGTCAGATGGTAAACAAATAGTTAAATTGATTACTTAATCACAAGCATAGAGAATGTAGCCAAAAGAGAATGCTTAAAGTTAAAGAGTAATGTGGAGGCAGAACAGTGCAGCGGTGAAGTACCACTCATGTAGCAAATTGTGTCTTTTAGCAAGTTAAGTAACCTCTCTGAGTTTTTGGTTTCCTTATCTGCAAAATGCAAATAATTACAGTAATTCCCTCTGAGGAAAGTTGTGAAGATAAAATGAAATAATGTTTGCAAAACACTTTGCTGAGAACCTACATATAATTGGAATTAATACTGCTGCCATTAATATTATTAAAAATAATCTATATATTACAGATTCAATGAACAGATATCATGATATGCTTTGTTGGGTTTCTTTTAGATTAAAAAAAATTTTTTTTTACACTTATTTATTTTTGATAGAGCACAAATGGGGGAGGGGCAGAGAGAGAGGGAGACACAGAATCCGAAGCAGGCTCCAGGCTCCGAGCTGTCAGCACAGAGCCCAAGGTGGGGCTCGAACTCACAAACCGTGAGATCATGACCTGAGCCGAAGTCAGACACTTAACTGACTGAGCCACCCAGGCGCCCCTAGATTTTATTTTTTTAATTTTTATTTTTTTTATGTTTACTTATTTTTGAGAGAGAGCGCGTGCAAGTGGGGGAGGGGCAGAGAGCTAGAGGGACAGAGGATCCAAGTGGACTCTGTGGGAACAGCAGGGAGCTAGATGCAGGGCTGGAACTGAACTCAGGAACCATGAGATCATGACCTGAGCTGAAGTCAGATGCTCAAACGACTGAGCCACCTAGGTTTCCCTAGATTTTATGTTTTTAAGTAATCTCTACACCCAACATGGGACACCAACTTACAACCCTGAGATCAAGAGTCACACACTCTACTGACTGAGCTAGCCAGGCGCCCCATCATGATAAGCTTTGAATACCATTACAGCCCCATTAGCCCTGAGTACGTGATAGGATATCACTTGTTGAGGGAATATCTAAGGATATGAGGCTGTCTGAATTACCACACAATGATTAAGGCAAAGTTTTTACTATGAAAGGTTGTACTTGGTAGAGAACCAAGAGACTCACACACTTGAATGCAAACTTGAAACTTTTAGGGAAACGAGCACCTAGCAAAGTGCTTGGCAGGCCATTTTGGCAAATGATACCTGCAATACTGTTTTCCAAACAGTATCTTCCATGAGTTTTCAGATGAAACTCAAGTGATATCTTTGAGGCATATATACAACTGAAAAGCTTTAAAGAAGGCAGAAAAGTGTAAACAAGGAAAAAAGTAAGAAAAATTTAAATCTCCTGTTTTAATAGCTTTTTTATATTTCTTGTTGACTTAGAAAGACCATCATTTCTTGCATAAATATTTCTCCCTTTTCTGACTTTGTCTAGGCTTTTCTCCCCAAGAACAATCTGGGTGGTATGAAAAATATGTTATAATGCTGTGTAGATACTGCACTGGCACATGTGGTTGGAGTCCCCCATCTAGGCACTGATGTCAATAAATGTACATTTTTTACTGATTTTGTAAAAAAAAAAGTAGAAAAGGAAAAGACCGGGCAAAAATGGAAAAACCCAGAAAATGAAAGTTTCTATGTTCATGATTTAAAAGGCACTCATCACCCAAAGTTCTTAGAACTTTCTGAGACTTCCTCTTCAGGCAGTCCTGCAGAATCCCACCCTCCAGCTGCCTCATGGCTCTCTCAATCTCTGTGCTGTTGGCTCTGGTGATGCTGTGCTCCAGCCCTGCCTACTCTCTGGACTGTGACCTGCGTCCGAGCAATCCAGAAACCTTCACACTTTTGAGTCAAATGGAGAGAGTCTCCATTCTGTCCTGTCTGAAGGACAGGACTGACTTCAACTTTCCTCAGATACTTGTGGCTGGGAACCAGCTTGAGAAGACACAAGTGACAGCTATCGTGCATGAGATGCTCCAGCAGATCTTCAACCTCTTCAGCAAAAGCGACTCCTTTGTGGCTTGGGATGAGACGCTTCTGGACAGATTCCTTGTTGGGCTTTACCAACAGCTGGATGACCTGGAGACGTGTTTGAGGGAGGAAATGAACATGGAACAGCTACCCCTGGGAAATGAGAACTCCAGACTGGCTGTGAAGAGATACTTCCAAGGAATCAGT